TTTTGAGACGGGGAGATCACCCTGGATTATCTAGGTGGATTCAATCTAATCATATGAGTCCTTAAAATCAAAGAACCTTTAATAGCTGGGGTCAGAAAAGAGGCATGTTAGTAGAAGCAGGATCAGAGAGATGCTACATTGCTGGCCTTGAGGAGAAAGGGAGGGGTCCTTGATTTTTGTCCCAGTGAGGCCTGTGTCAGACTGCAGACCTAGAGAACTGGAGGATAGCCCTGGCCAGGTAACACAGCTGGAGTCATCTGGGCATGCCAAGGTATGCATAACTAAGTGGAACAACAAATCGATGCCTCTCTTTTCATGTCTCTCTCTCTCTCTCTCTCTTTTCCCCCTCCCTCCCTCTCTTGCTCTAAAAGCAATTCAAAAAAAGAGAGAACTGGAAGATAATAAATTTGTGTTGTTTTAAGGCCACTAAGTTTGTAGTAATTTATTACAGCAGCAATAATAAAGTAATACAGTATCTGTCAGGTAAAAATGCAAGACTGTCATGTTAATTTTAAACACCTTCAAAGGCCTGAGAAGAGTAAAGCCTGCAAACATACAAATTGCATTAACCTGTGATCTTACATCCTGAGCATGAACCAATTAAATGCAGAATTCTATGTATATGTTCTTCTAAACATCAATAAAATTCACAGACAACTGGTTGTGTATGGTGCTCTCCAGAACCCTCTACTCTGTGCTCACAGCCCATAAAAATTATTTTGACTATTAATTAAACCAAAGCAACCTGACCAGAGACCTATGGCAACCTGTCAGAAACAGTCTACAAACACATGTTTATACTTAGAAAGATCATGACTCTTTCAATATAGTTGGAACTTTGTTTTTACATTCAGTATTCAAAATTTACATTCAATGAAATATAAACATACATGTAAATCACTACAGACACTGCTGAAGTGGAGCCACATCTGGATATTCTTGCATTTAAAAAAAAAAAAGGCTTGACTTTTTTTGTGACACTCTAAATGGTTTCCAAAGGTGTCTTCATTATGCACTTGAACAATGATCCTGAGTAATCAACATGAGCACGTTTCTGGCAGAAGTCCTTAACAAAGCCAGGACAAACTAATGCAAATCGCTGTCATTGTTCCCAATATTGACAGTGCTCTTGTTTGATGCGAAGGCAAATAAAAGACATTTCACTGAAGATCTAATTTCCCTGGTGTGCCAAAGCTGATTTTTTAAAGCCAACTTAGTGGATAAAGCTGTATCCTTACATTTAGGCTAATCAAAATTTAAACTTCAGATTTCATAAAAAAAGATTTTTGTTTCACCCAAGGTTCCACTAAAATTTCAAATACCCGGCTCTCTTGATGTAATTAAAATATTTCAATTTCTGGACAACTTTAAAGAGCACATCTATCAAAGTATATTCTATTTGAACAGTGATGCGATTTGTTTGCCTGTTATGTCCCAGTGCTCTACAGAGATGAGAACATCCCTACTCCTAAGGGACTGACTGCCTTAAGCCTTCTGAATTAACTAGGCAATGCTTGAAGCAGGAGGAAGACTGCACAGGCTAGTTCGGGGACTGCCACCATAATGTCTGCAAAGGAAAAGCCTGCTGATATTTCTGTTGATATCTCATACTTAAGGTGCTTAAGAAAAGATCACATCATTTGGCAAAAACATCCTGTGGCTGAATCAGCAGATTTAATGGAAAGTCCCTATATATGATATTTGTATACAGACCGGGTTCTGGAGAGAAACGTTTGTTTGACATAAAAACAAGAAACGATAGTTTAATGTACAACTAAGTTTGCCTATATGCGGAGGTAACCTTAAATATCTTTGGTTTTTTAAATTTGCTGATAAAAAGTACTTGAATAAAAACACTGATAAATACCAATATAATTGTATTGCTTTTAATTATGTAAACTTAGCCCTTCGATATATTTTGCTACTAAAGCTAACCCTATCAGCCTCTAAATAAATTTATTTCAAATCTGCTCATCTTTACTTACTTACAGGCTAATCTATATATTTTAATGATCTTTGGTATGAAAATACTGATGAGCAGTATCTTGTAATATTTGGCATAAAAATGAAATCAGTACTTACAGCAAATAAGTCTTTGGAAAAGAAAATAGTTACCATTTGCATATTAGCCCCTTTGGAGTGAAATACCGTGAAATAACACCACTATGGGAGAGAAGTGAGAACCTTCACATTTTAGTTACAATTTTATACTTAAGGCTTCAAAGAAGCAAGCTTTGACCAAGTAAAAAGAAGTCTTTGCAGTACACTAAATACCTTACTCAATGAGACCAAAATATTTATCTTTGGTGAAAAGACTTTTTTTTTTTTCTCTCCAACAAGTAGTTTCCACAATTTAAAAATACTTTAATACTGTTTAGTTGAAAATTTACTTGCTGAAGAAAAAAAAATTACACTTGAAATTCTTTGGAACTTTCTACTGGTAAAGAACTTATGTTAAATGCTCTGGTAACAATAAGGTAGTTAAAATTGCTAGCCTATTTAACTACAGCAATCAATATAAACCCTATTATTTTGGATCCTATTATTTTGAGTTAGTAACTACTTGTGTAAGCTTCATTACCTATAGATGTTTCTAGTTAATTCAGTTGGAGAAATTATAGTCAAATTTTCACTTTCTACTGAAAATTCTTTGGTAACAGGATTTATTATGAAAAAATCTGTATAGGAACAATACGAAAGGTGAAAAAGTAAGAAATGCACTGGTAAATAATTAGCAAATAGTTATAGCCTAAAGATCTACAATAACTATGGGCCTATTCATCAAAAACCAAACAAACAAAATACTTTTCTCAAGGACTTCAGATCATCTCTCTAGGCTTTCAAGATTTTAATTCACACAGTCCTAGACACACCTTCCATAACCATGATGGATGATGTTTCAGCTTTAGGTACATTTTGCCTTTTAATGAAAGTTTAAAAAATAAAACAAACTCTTGTACTCTTTAATTTTAGATACTGAGAAAAGTAGGCCCCACATACTTCTACTTACAAACCAAAAAGCGCCATACCCTGTCAATTTGCCCATGCTTCCATGAGGCAGCTTAAAAGTAATAAAATGTTCCCTGAGTACAGGAAAAAAAAAATAACACTAGAATAACTTTAAAAAGAGGTAGTATAAAACAGGAGCTATAAAGGCAGGAGCAGCATTTTTCCTTGCCTCCGATTGTTCACCTAAAGCTCTGCTTTTTTTTTTTGCTTTTTTTTTTTCTTTTGTCATGAAACCCATACTTAGATAGCTAAATGGGGACTTTGAATTTAGTTCAGAAGTGGCTGCTGGCACTTAATGTTGGTCTGCTTCTGAACACATCCAGTTTGGCACAAGACTACAGATTAAACAAACAATTAAAAAAATGTATCATCAGTCACTGGGATAGAAGATGCTAGAGGTAGGACTGTTATCCAGTAATATTCTTTTGATTTTTAAGAATACCATTTAACATAGCCCCCCTCTATAAACCAAAAGTTTCAGGGGGAAACTCACTAAAATTCCTTCTAAAGTGAGGCTCAAAAGTCATTCCCAGATAATTTGAAAAAATACTTTTAAAAGGATATGGGACCCCTTCTCCACACCATCTGTTTTAATTCTGTATCTTCTCCCACTGGTGGGCACTTAGTAGGTAACTGTCTCATGACTGAGAGAAGGCCTATATTATGTGGCTGAGTAAACAGTTTGCTGATTTCAAACCAGCAAGAGGACTAACTCACTCCTGGAGCTAGCATTCCTCGTTCACAGCATTGACACTGAAGGAAGATTAAATAAAAGTACCAAATTCTCTTAAGAAGTCACAAAAATACAAGTAAAGTGGTAGAGCTCTGAATACTTATCCCAAAACAAAACCTGCAGAATAAAAACTGAAATACTTTGATAAGATACTGTACATCAAAATAGTTACTGATAAAATCCAAGACAGTCTTAAGGCAACTTTCTGAACTCTTGTCCTGAACAACTTCATGAATATTAAAAAGATATAAGGCAAAGAATTTCATAATATATAATGGAAGGCACTGTTACCATGATAACCTCAGGTTCACTTTACTGTCTACTGTTGCATTTATCTTCATTGCTAATATTTCATGAAATTTCTTTACCCTTTTAGGCCAAGCAAGGATTTAAAAAAAAAACCAAAAACCTTAACCCATTCTCTTTAAAAATCTGTTTTCTGCATGGAGTTTTGCTACTAATTCTGGCAACTGAGGATGCTTTGCAAACTAGACAGTGCAGCCTTTGGCCAACTGTCAGGCAAAGAGGAAGACAGAAAAGGCACAGCTCTAGGCAGGCTAGGTTTGGGATAACAGCAGATAAAGCACTCAGAGTCTAATGCCCAAAACATAAAGGCCCTTGAAGCAATAGTATTCTCTGTATGCTACCAAATAGTTCTATTCTCAAGAGAAACAATGTTTTTTTGTCTGGGTCATTCACTATAATCAACAGTCCCACTTTTCCTCTTTTTAGTGGTTTAACAGTCCTCACAGTGAGAGGTGTTAAATATAAAAATCATGCAGATGTCGTAGTTTTTTTCTTTTTTTTTTTTAAATCAGAGCTTCAGATAAACACTCTTACTCATCTACCTATATGACTCCTTTGATCACACACATTACACATACAGCAATGAAAACAAAATACTACTAGGAAGTATCATTGGTTATGTAGCTGAGAAACTATCACAAAAAATGAGGTAACAAAGTTGTCTTCTAAGTTTGCCATCTGGCAAACTGAGGTAGATAGTTAGCAAAGGGGCTTTCAAAAGTCTTCCCTCTGCTCCAGTGATATATTTTTATAATCCAGTCAAATATCTTGACTGTCTTTTCACATTGCTGACAATGAAACATTCAAAATACGTGAGTTTAAAAATAAAAGAAAACACATTCAAAAAAGCTGAAATACCCAATAAGACATCAAGATTTTCACAAAAGGCTTTGGCTCCCTGTTCATTGTCCTTCGAACAGAATTAAAGGTGAGAATACCTGAACATAGCTGCCTAGATTGGAAAATCATTTTTATCAAAGCTTAGCATGGCAGATGGTGGCTGCAGAACGGAAGAGGAAGTTTGCTCAGCATCTGAGGACACTGCAGGGTCTTGACACTTCCTCTTCAAGGGATCTCCACCTGAATCATTGCCAGGGAAGGAATCGGAGGTCAGGGGAGTGGTACTTATAACGGAAGACAGGTGTATCTCATCATTGGACTCATGGGAGAACCTTCCAGAATCCCCGGTCTCGTGGCTGCCTTCACTATTGGCTGAATGTTCAGTATCAGCTGCAACACCAAAGGGCCTTGGGAAGCTGGTTGTCTGCCCTGGGGAACTGGGGGAGTCTTCATCGCTAATTAGTACAGTCGTGCCTGGCTGGTAAAAGCAGACCGATTGAGTAAATCTTCTTTGAGGCTAGGCAAAAACACATAAAACACTATCAGTGATGACAGAATGCTCCTGAAAAATAATCAGTCTGGTTTTACATATTCTGAGATAGCAAACTGTCCAAGTACATGGTGAAGAAAGGTCATCATCATGAAGGGACTGTCTAGGTCAGCAGTTCCCCACTGAGGACTGGGAGCACATCAGAATTACTGGGGTAAGTGAGGTATCAAAGGCGTCTTCAGTGACTTGGTTGCATGCTCCTGTCTCATCCCCTTCTGCACTGCCCATCCCCACCCCCACACTGAAAACCCCTGTTCTAATTACTATTCCAACTGTCACTTCAGTGCTTACTCCCCATGGCTTTCCATGGGGTCCTGCACCAAATAAATAAAATAACACCCAGAAAAAAACATGAAAATTAAAGTATCCATTTACATTTTCCTCTCTTTTTCTTTACCATTTCATATACCACAGGTTGCCAAAGATTTTTCTCATTTAGGTGGGTTACCTGCTCAACTCTTATCTTCTTAGAATCTTGGAAAAAATGCCATTTTTTCTTGGAGTTGTTTTTAATCACAGGACCATAGCTATTAATTATCAGGTCAGTTCCTCCCTGGAGAAGGAGGAGGGGAAAATGTAAGTATTATATTTCCAGTTTATCACAAGTAGTGCACAAAATTCTTTATGTTAAAATAAAACAATCACATTATTACTATTTCTTCTTTTACACAAGCAGCATACAACAAATTCAGGGTAGTTGTTAGTAATCAGAAAGATATAACAGGTTTACCCTTAAGAGAGATATATATCCTAAATAAAGTATTTGGGGTGAAGTATAATGATTCCAAAACTTGTTTGCAAATGATGCAACAAAAAAAAAATATAGAAATATGACAAGATATTGATGATTATTTGTGTATTCATTACATTATTCTTTTAACCTTTCCACATGTTTGAAAAATTTAAGAACAGTTGAGAAAACAAATGGGCACTATATATGGCAATAAATGGGGGATCAACTCGCAAGCTAACCTAGGAGAACGGAGGTATCTGTCCCTCAAACTGTCTTCTCGGCTTCACGCCAGGCCTCCACTTGGCTCTGCTTCCCTTCACGCTGGATTCTCCTGCTTTTTCTCCACGTCTGCCTTCCTACTCTGTTTCTCCCCAATCCCTTTTCATGTTGAGTTCCAAGTTATTAATAACAGAACTACAGTGTATTTTAGTACTTTTTATTCTTATTTGAAAGGTTTAGGTTCTAGTGTTCTAGATTAATGTGAAATAACTTTAATGGCTTGCATTTACCTCAGCAAATAAAAGCTAAATTAAGTTGCAAACAAAAAAGACAACAGACCCTGACTGGTGTGTGGCTCAGTGAGCTGGGGGTCCTCCTGCAAACCAAAAGGTTGACGGTTTGATTCCCAGTCAGGGCACATGCCTGGGTTGCGGGCCAGGTGGCCGGTTAGGGGCGTGCAACAGGCAAGTTATCGATGTTGCTCTCCCTCTCTTTCTCCCTCCCTTCCCCTCTTTTTAAAAATAAATAAATAAAATCTTAAAAAAAGACAACAGGAGTATAAAAAATCAATTCATTATTATGTACCTATAATATAGACAACATACAGAATTGTGCCAGGTACAAGCAGATTGCATCTGTTAAATATAATTGCATAAAATTAAATATTAAAATTGCCTGATATTTTGTTATATTTTTATTATCCTAAATTTTAAGGAAGGTTTGGGGGAAAATAATTTATAGCATAATGTGGCAAACTTTTTTCTGTAATGGGTCACATAGTAAATATCGTGGGCTTTGCAGGCTATATATGGCCTCTGTCGCATTTTCTCCTTCATCTTTTTTATTTTCAAACTATCCTTTAAAAATGTGAAAAACATTTTTAGTTCAGGTGACAGCCATAAAGAAACTGGCCGCTGGCCAGCCAACCTTGGTGGTAGTTTACTGATACCTGGTTTATAGCACACTGGTTATGAGAGCTATTATAACAATGTATACTATCTAATGTTGCAATGTGGCTAAAAATAATTTTCAGTTGGTGTTCATAATGCTTATCACTATACTATTATTACAGATAGTGGAAGGGACATGAAGTAACATCCCCCAATGGCATTCTTAACTATATCCAACTTCCTCTGGCAATAAAGGGAAGGACCTTGAGATATTCAACAAGATCCTCCATACTTTTAAAAATGTCATCCGTACCTGGAATGTTCTGATGGTCAATTTAGTTAAAAACAAATCAGCCAAACTAAGTATACAATGAATGAGAAAAAAATTGTCTACCCAGTAAATACAGAGCAATTCAATTTCTCATAAATGTATACTAATATAATCCTGGTGTCCTCATTAAGATAGTATAGCTCCATATAATTCCATCTATTTGAATTTATGCTACCTTTTCTTTTTTCTATACCTCTTTTGTCTTTTTATTTTAAAGATCTTATTTATTTATTTTTAGAGAGATGGGAAGGGAGGGAGAAAGAGAAGGAGAGAAACATTGATGTGTAAGAGATACATTGACCAGCTGCTTCTCACACACCCCCCAACTGGCAACCTGGCCTGCAACCCAGGCATGTGTCCTGACTGGGATTCAAACCAGTGACCCTTTGGTTTTCAGGTCAGCACTCAATCCACTGAGCCATACCAGCCAAGGCTACCTCTGTCTTTCATCTTTTATTCTTTCATATGTCCCTATCTTCTTCTCCCCAAATTATTTTATGTAAGGAAGCACCCGAGTAAAACTGTTTCACATTTCATTAAGTGAAGTATGGATATAATACATTTGACATGTAATTTTTTGGTAAGGAGATTTTACACATAAATGGAAGATGAATCGAGGTAAGGATTATGCAGCAAACTGGCCTCAATGCTTGGAGTACCTTTGCATCAATGAAGCTGTTGGGCATCATCATTGGCATTAAAGAGTCTTCATTTTCTACAGTCTCTTCCAGGTTCTTTCCTCCTTCATGTCCACTGGCTAGGGAGGCACTGGTACGAGATAATGGTTGAGTTCCATTCTGTGCCGTCTTGGAAGAAGATGATTTCCTGAAATATTGAAAGAAAAGAAAATCTAGTTTCATTGGTGATACAGGCAAATATACCAAATTTGGCTTATAATCATAACTTTGCATACAATAAAGTTATTTAATGTTTGCTTCTCACTTATTTTTAGAACTAAGTATCAGATTTTTACTCCAACTCATTGCTGAAAATGTGTACGATTTAAGGGAGCTTCTTTATTTTTTTGGTCCCAATATCTTCTTACATATACTTTTTACAAACCTTATTAAAAACTTTAATATTTACAAACTACTATTTTTATTATTGTTGATTATAATTTATGCATAAATTATAATTTTTAATTTACATGTTCTCTTTCAGGTCTGCAGATTGTTACCACTAATATCACATTTCACTTGCCAATTAATGATGGCAAATTTACAATAGCACTTCTGCAAGATTTAGGCATCACTAAAACACTGTGCGTAAAGATATTATAGAAAAGTTCTTAAAATGAGAAATTTGGACAGTAAAATTAAGCCAGTTCAATATACAAAAAGATGTTAGCACTAACTCTTCTTTATTAACATAATATGTTTTCTTAGTCAAGTACCAAACACATATATAGAGTAACTCTGAACAACCTAGGCAAATGGAGGGAGTCAAGTGACACATATTACCTAAAAATATGTTTTTGACTTTAGTTTTCTTTTTAATTGACAAAAGAACATTAAGAAAATAAATCAAAGCAAAAACCAAAATATATAGAAGGTTAGAAACAGACAAGTTCATTGAATGCTAAGGATTTAGCTGAAGTCAAACTACGGATACCATTGCCTGACAGAGTTCATAGAGAATCAATCCCTAGTTAAGGCTTTGTTTTAATCCATGTCTGGAGATATCCAGCCATATGTTCTGCGGTGATGGGGGTGGAGGGGATCTCAGTGACTTAGGCATTTCGGGCTACTTAAATGTGAAAATATTCCAGACAGTAAGGAATCCTCTCACTCAGCAGATACATCAGATTAAGTGTGTCATTTTTCTATACTGAAGACTACTTTGTGTTTCTCAAGATACTAAGGAAATGAAGAAACTAGGTCTTTATTTAAGAATATTTTATTGGCACAGTAAATTTTTCAAAGGGCAAGAAAGTAATCTTCCAAAGTGAGTTTATCTCTATAGCTGTAAGAACTCAAGTAATACTTCATTTATTTTAAAGTGGAAAATCCCAATTACTCTAAATGGCACCTGGTTTCAATTTGCTTCTTGTGGTTACTGTAAGGTATAGTTTTTAACCACCTCCACATCTGTAGCAATATAAACACACCTGGCTTTACTTCGGTATATCAAGATGAGAACACAGATGAGGATGCAGGTCAAGGCTATGCCAACTCCTACAGCGATGCCAGTCATTGATTTTTGGTCCAGATGGTAATATCCTGAATAAACTAGAAGGGGAAACACATTTACTCAGGATAAATAAAAAAATGCATGATTCCATTTGTAATTTTCTGACAGATAATTGCTTTTCTATAATTTTCCTTCCTCTCATAGGACAACTTTGACACTGTGTCTAACCAGAAAAGACACATAACACTTTTATCAGTGATCTCAGAAAGATGTTTATCTTCCCATAGTGAGGATTCTACATGAGTTCTAGTATTGTATTATTATATCAAAGATGAACATCAGTTTATAACTTGTAACGCTAAAAGGCAAAAGGCACAGTTGTTCCTTGATGGACCAAAGGGTAGCTTTCATGTCCTGTTACCTTAGAGCAGAGCTGTATTAGATTAGTTTTCCATTGAACGTATTGGCATTTACTTAACAGTGCTCCTCAAACTCTAATGTACATATGCTTTACTAGAGGGTATGTTAAAATGCAGATTCTGACTCACTAGTTCTGGAGTGGTGGCCATGATTCTGCATGTTTTATAAGCTCTTGGATGACACGCTTACTGATTCCTAGACACTCTGAGTAGCAAGGTATTTGAGCTGCTATAGGAGCCTTGCTCTCTCTTTCCCCTGATAGAGTAACTACTGTGGCTACCTGCTCCCTGTGCATAAAATGACTGCTCTGTCCTTTCCCCCCCACTCCTTCCCTGGGTATGTGTTTATTTCTCATTCATATTTTCTTTCTCTCTCTCTCTCACTCACATATACATACACGACTGAATAACTATCCTCTGAGGAGCTACGAGCCTTTAAGTCTGTCCTGAGTTCAGCTGGCATTTTCTCCATTTAAAGTTACTCCCCGCCAACACACACACACACACACCCACACCCCCCACACCCTCCGTTTTCTCTCACACACACACACCCCCCCTCTGTTTTCACACACACACACACACACACACACACACACACACACACACCCCCCACCCACCCACCCCCCGATTTTTCCAGAGGGGAGAAAGGGGAGGTGTCTAGCTCTGCACCACAGCGGGCCTGGTTTCCTTCAGAACAGGACAGTTGCCCTGAGTGGAGTGAGGGTGGCTCTTTAAAGATATATTTCCAATTGCTTTTCTTAAAAGAAACAACATTCTCTCTAGAAAGGTTGTTTTTCTGTGGTGAAAACTCTTAATGAAATCATGCTCTTCTGAGCTTGAACACCACAGCCACCACTGCTGTTTATTTCCATGAAACCTCCCAAGAAGCCTACCCCCATAGTTCCAGGAGGCGTAGCTCATCTGTCTCAGTGGTTGAACAGCTGGGAAGAAAAATAACTGGGACACAGTGGTCTGAAAACTGCAGTTAATTCTGAGGTAAGTTTGTCTTCTTCTAGGAGTACAGAGAAGAGCCATGCAGCTCCATGGCGTCAAAGCCTCGCTGGCAACAAATCAAAGAGCTGAGTGCAGGTTTCAGGGTATGGCCATTGTAGGAGTGGACATAAAGTGCAGGGAGCTGAGAAATACGTCTGCACTTTCTTTCCTTCAGAAAAATCAGTGATTGTGACAGTATACAGACCTTTGGCATCTGCAGAATCTAAACGCGTGGGCCTCTGATTTGATTCTGAAGTTTCTTTTGGAAGCACTGCCAGCTCTACAGAATTCGAAAAGGGTCCTTCTCCCACTTCATTGGATGCAGATATCTTGACAATGTAGACATTCCCTGCCACCAGGTTTTCCAACAAAGCCATGGTTATTGCCCCTATTAAAAAATCAATGACAAATTAAATAAATGTTATCTTTTATTCATCCTTTCAATCATGCCATTGTGGTGCTATATTTAAAAAAATATTTTTGATTATAAAAGTAACATTCATTTAGAACATTTGGAAAAATAAAGCGACACATGAATACAATGACAATCTCCCATTGTTAATATTTGGTGTATCTGCACCATACACGTGTTTAAGGACATATTTACTACATGCATGTTTCTATCCTACAGTTTTCACACATAACTCTGTAATATAACTCTGTAATTTTGTCTTAGGAGTATTTCTTAAGAACAACATGTCCTTTTGTTTTGTTATATACAGGTCTGTCAAGAAAGTATCCAGCTACATAATACAAAAAATAGATATTTATTGAGGAAGACACAAGATACAAGAAACACTGTACACGGAACAATGATGCCTCAGTCCCCTTCAAAGTAGGCACCTTGGGACCTCACAGTTCTCCCAATTGCCATCAGCTGCCCCATTATATTTTCCTGAACCTTTTCAATTGTCTGAAATCTCTTCCCTTTCAAAGGTGATTTTAGTTTTGGGAAAAGCCAGAAGTCACAGGGCACCAAGTCTGGGCTGTAGCAGGGCTGAGTCACCTGGGTGATTTGATGTTTTGCCAAAAAACTCTGCATGACACATAATGCATGAGACATGATGCATGAGCAGTTGCGCTGTCAGGATGAAGCTGTCAATCACCAGTTGCCTATAGCTGCAGCCTTCTGAATCATACAAATAGCTTCTGTGGAGGAATGTTCAAACTTAATGCAAAATCTGATGCAGATCTGTTGCTCTACGCACTCAGTCATTTTTTAATGTGATGGCCACTCATTACACATACTCACTCAATAGTGTCTACCACCCCCATGGACTAGTACAGTGAAGTTGTCATTGTTCACGCATGTGCATTCCAGTCCCCTATCCTTGGCTGCCAGGTTACATCAATGTCACATAAACCATTCTCATTCTATTAACAATGGTTGTACTTTTTCTGGACAGGCCTCGTATATACACATACATATATACATATTTTACAAACATATGTAAATATATATTTATAAAGTGTTTTTATATGTGTGTATATAATGTTTTACTCTTTATATAAGTGTGGGTACAAACAGCATTACAAACGTTTTATTATGAAGTAGTTCAAACATAGGTACAGAGAGAATGATATAATGAATCCAGATTCAACAATCATAATTAGATTTTTAAAATCCAATGTAAGAGTCTTTTTCTTCTTTTAGAAATGTTTTTGCTACTTATGGTAATAGCTGTAACAGATGATCCTGACCTTCCTGAATTAGAAAAAACACAATTCTTTTTTTTTAAATTAAAGAGTTTATTTATTTATTTTTAGAGAGAGGAAAAGGGAGGGAGAAAGAAATGGAGAGAAACACTGATCTGTTGCCTCTCGCATGCCCACAGCTGGGGACTTGGCCCGCAACCCACGTTTGTGCCCTGACTGGGAATTGAACCTTTCAGTTTGTAGGCCAGTGCTCAATCCCCTGAGCCACACCAGCCAGGGTATAAAATTAGTTTTGAAAGTATGAAAATATTTTTCACCCTTCCCAGTCATTATCTAAGATTTCTTTAATGTAAACAGAAAAGAAAATGCCAAAATTATGTAGAAACATTAGAGTGCTGAAGATTTAGACCTCAGATTAACTATCAAATTACCACCACCAATCTGCTTAGCAACTACTTCTCTCCAAAAGTAATATTCATTTGAATTTATATATGACACTTAGTATCAAAAGATATTTTCTCTGTTAACATGACTGCTAAGAGGATTTCTATTTAGGCACTGCTATTTCTTGGGGAGTCTACATGCGTGTAGTAAATCTTGTTCTGCCACTGCACTGAAGTATTTTTCTTACAACAGGGTCTCTCACACTAGGAATTAATCCTAATGTTAAGAAAGCAGGTGTACCAGAAATTCAATCAGCAAGTTGTTCCATCGCTGCCTTTGTGGGTAGGTATTCACAGGGCAACCTAGCTTTCCTATGTTGACTTCATCTTTTTCCTGACTCAGGGCATCCTTACAATAGCTTCAAAGGGTTTACAAAAGCTTGTAGCAGTCACCTCCAGGCCAGAGTAGACTACTGTGATGCACTTGCAAGAGTATATTTCATTATGCAAGTGAAATGCAGCATGATCTTAGAGCCGAGGACATGATTCAGAGGCCACCTCTGCAGATCACATGGTGTGAGGCAGCTGAACCAAGTGGCAATGTGAGGAGCCAAAAACAGCTTGTTTTCATATTCTATGGTTTCAACTTGGCCTGAAGAGAGTGTGAGCTACTTGAGTACACAGCTGTTAAATAAACAACCTGACCCCTATTTAGAACCAGGAAGAGCCTTTCCATTCTTACTGTGTTCTTAGGCAGATGAATTAAAAAACAGAGATGTATTGTGACAGGTTACAATTAGCTAGGAGGGAGAACAATTCAATAAATAATTGAGCTTCCATTTTACCTTAGAATACTTTATATTTAATTTTTTTAAAGTGCTAGGCAAAAAACTAATCACCTAAAATTAAATGTCTTTTCATTTCATTTAAATTTTATAAGCAGGTGAGTTGAGTGTGTTTGTGTATATGCATGTTCCCCTTCCTTAGACAAAAAAGGGAAACTATAAGATTCTGGTTCCCTTTTGAGCACACTCAAAGCAGTTCCCAAATATTAAAGTGAGCTGACTGTCCCTATATTTTCTCAACAAAATGTCTCAATCTCGGTGTGATTATTTCAGTCTACTGTCTTTTATGTGTGGCCGAATCTTTAGCTAGATTAGGAGCTTCACAAACCAGGCAGTGTAATAGGCTCAATGTTGTATCAATGCTGATTAAATGCTGGTACACTAACCAACTAAGTAATTTGTGACTTGGGGCACATTACTGAACTTTACTTTCTTCATGGGGGCAGTAATTCCTACCTCAGACAATTATTACAAAGACAAAATAAATGACCACTGGTAAATGTCTGACAAAAGTGTATATACTCAATGAAAGTAAGTCTTCTTCCTTATCTCTGACTTCCCTCTCCTCTTCCCTTTCTGGAAGACAGAAAATTTCATATTTGAACAGCATAATATGAATGAACAGCTAGCATAATGCCTTGTGCAAGATAATTCTCAGTAAATGCCAACTGAACTTATATTAAAATATAAGTTATTTGTTACCAAAGGAGTGTTCATTTAAAATGTAAAAGCAAAGAGTAAGAAGCACTTACTCCAGAATGAGGTCTCAGACCTTCCTATTTTTCATGCACATTCTCTAAGTGATTGTTCTTCAGTTCCACAGTCTTTTTTCTATTTAAAATTGTCTTTTTCAATTACAGTTTACATTCAATATTATTTGTATCAGTTTCAGGTGTACAGCACCAGTTCCAAAGCCTTAAATACCATCTCCAGTGACGACTTCTGTTATACCACTAGTCCCATGAACTAAATCCTCCCACTTGTCCAATCTCTTTACTTAGAATCTGAAAGGCATCTCAAATTTCACATGTTCAAAACCAAACCTTTGATTTCCTCAATCAATTTTGCTTTTTTTTTTTTTGGACATCAATCTGCGGCCAATCTAGTCGGCTGTTCTTTCAAATTATGTTTTCATTGATTCTCATTACCTTCCCCATTATCACCCCAGTCCAAACCCCCATTAATTCCCACATGGACACTAAGTAATATTAAATAGTTTCTAACTCCTACTCTTACCTCCTTATAACCAATTTTTCAGGTGGTTGCCAGAGTACCCCTTTTAAAATGTAAATCTGATCCACAGTCTCCAGTGTCTTCCTTCTCTCTTTGAATAAAATCAGTGATCCTCAAATTCTGCCCTCTAAGACCTGTCCTTGGTTGCAGCGATGATCACCCCTGTCCACACCCCCTTCATTTCCCACTGCCTCTTCTTCCCTTCACGCTAGCCTTCCTTGCCTTCTTGCTGTTCCTTTAACATGCCAAGCACACTTGTGTTTCAGGGCCTTTGCACTTCTCCCAGATACCTTATGGCTCTTCTCAGATGTCATTTCTTCCAAAAGAACTTACCTTACTATCTCCATCATTTTGTCTTTCCCTCTTATTGTAGTTTTCTTTATAGCACTTATGATACTACCTGAATATTTTTATATTTGTGTGTTTCCCGAGAAGTAAGCTCCAATGGGGAAGGGACATTGTTTTGTTCACTGTAGCACTGCCAATGCCTAGGAAAGGGCCTGTCACATACTAATCATTCAGTAAGAATTCATTTTATCAATCAATTATGTTCCTATTTTTAGTCGTTCAATTTATTTGGCAAGTGATGAGTTAAATGGATTCCTTCAGTAAAGGACTTTAATTTCCAATGTGAATCTCTAATAGGAGGGAATAGTAATGTTCCTTAAATTTATTTAGTCATGGAACTCTTTTTTTTTTTTTTAAAGAGGGGTACTTTTACAACCTTGGGAAACACACTACAAGCAACAGAGTTCAGGAATTGCTGTAGTAGAGCATAATTTCTGATAGTGCATTTAGATTTTTAAAACATTGAATAGTTTAGGCTGATTTACTATATTATCAGCAAGTATAAAGGCTCTAATTTCTGATCCTTTAAATTACACACAAGCATACTTTCATTTCACATTTCTGCTCAACCATTTTAGCATGTACAATTTTAGCCACAAATATCATATGGTCACCAGGAACATTTTAAAAATGTTTTAACTAATGAAAAAAATCTTACTCTACTTGGCAATAACTATGTGAGTTAATTATACATGTAAACATACATAAACACAATATGTATATGAGATTAATAGATGTATAGGGAAGAAATATTAGTATTCTTCCTCTTTTTGCCCCTTATCTTTTCCTACATCTTTACCAAAACAAAATATCATTTCTTTTTAGGCAGGCACAAATGAAGAGCTAAAGGAAGTATGTGCTCATGTGATTAAAATTCTTTTTATTTTTTTAAAGATTTTAAAAAATTCTTTATTTATTTGTTTGTTTGTTTGTTTTTTAGAGAGGGGAAGGAAGGGCAAAGGAGAGGAAGAGAAACATTAATGTGCCAGAGAAATATCTATTGACTGCCTCTTGCATGCCCCCAAGTGGAGTCCTGGCCCACAACCTGGGAATGTGCCCTGCCTGGGAATTGAACCAGTAGCCTTTTGGTTTGCAGGCTGGCTCTCAACCCACTGAGCCACACCAGCCAGGGTAAATTAAAATTTCTTATTAATACTTATAAAATACCTCATTAAATTAGGTTAATCACTGGTCAAATGTATCAATAAATCATTTTGGAAATAATTAAGGATATTATGGTAGATTGTAAGAATAATAGCCCCAAGTACATTCTACATCCATCTATCCCACCCATGGACAGTCCTCTGCCACACTAACTCTGGGCTTGCCTATATGATCTGCTTTGCCCATTGGACATCAGCAAATGTGATGTGAGCAGAGACTTGCAAAGCTTTGTACTAGGGCTTCCTCCCTCTTGTCCTGATGTCAGAACTCTCTCTTGCTGTTTTTAAGCTACCCACACTCTGTTGAAACTGTGAGATAATTTACAGCCTCATGAGTGTGACCTGAGGAGAGACCAAGAGAACTGCCCAGCTGATCCCAGTCCAAACTGCTGACTCACTGAGCTGTGAGAAGGTAAAGTGGTTTTTAAGGTGGTTTGTTAGGTAGCAACAGAAAATTGACACAAATATAACACTGTATTGCTGGCAAGTACTTGTTACTTTCATGTCTCTTCAGTGACTAAGAAATCACTACCTAGTGGGATTTCTGCTTAGTGAAAAATATTATAAATATATGACTACAAAAACTCCAGCTAAAGTTACCACTTGTTGATTTTACAATTGCATATAGGGTTTATTACATCCACATAGTGCCTTTGAAGTTTATTCTCTTAATTCAGTAAATATACCCCTTAAAAGGTACAATCTATGTGGTATGCCTAGTACTATGAAGTGTTTAGAACATATAGATGGCCAACAAATTTTCTTCTTGAAATCCTTAAGCTTTTAATTGATTGGTGAACTGATCTTTTCTCAGCATGCACATGTGAATTAAGTGCCAAAATAATGAAATTTTACAATTTATGTGATGGCCTATCTAAAAACTGGCATGTAGAATTTATTCAAATGAAAGAGTCAAAAATTTTAAAAGGATATAATGATAAGAGCATGTAGTAAAAATGTTAAAGAGTTTTAGAATTCAGTTTTGCTCAGCTAAAAATAATTTTGTGTTAAAAAATTAAATTCAGTGTTTGTAAACTCTAATCAGCCTTTCCCTGTATATATGGGTCAATTTATTTGCAAGTAGTCCATTTTAGTAGCTGTACAAAGGTTTTCTCCCTTAAACCAGGTCCTCTTCCAGTGTTTCTTACTCCATCAAAAGACACACCACTACCACACATCTCGTAATTACCTATAACAATTTTCCTTCTCTTATCTCTCACCCTCTTTCCTTAAGTTACCAAGTCTCTAATGTCTTTCAATTGTCCTCTCCTTCCCATTTGAATCTTCAACACCCTAATCCAGGTTTATCATCTCTTTCCTGGACCATCATCATTGCTTCCTAGTCTCTCTGCATTACTCTTGCTGCCCGCTCCTCAACCAAACCTCTTCTATTCACAATAGTCAGAATGATCACTCTGAAATATGAATCATGGGCTCCTTCTTCAAAGATGTCAATGGCTTTCCAATGCTCTCTGAATAAAACCAAAATCCTTAAAAACTTGTAACTTCATAAATACAAATTCAAAACAAACTCTAGATCCCTCTTTTCCCTTGTTTCCTTATCACTAGTAATCTCACTTTTCATCCCTCTTTGGTAATTTATGATCATATTTACCTTCTCGGTGTAGGACCTGCCACTCTCCTGCAATCCAGGCCTTCCTTGATGCATATAAGATAGTATAGCGTGTCACCACTGTCTCTGGGCCATCGGGGGGTTTCCAAGAGACCAGAGCGGTGTCATCCTCTATCAGTGTCACCTTTACTCCAACTGGTGGGCCTGCTGGTGCTGTGCACACATATAGAAAATATGGTATTACTAGGATAAATGGTCATACACATGCAAATACCTAGCTAATACAATGGCAGGCACAGAAAAGAATTTGAAAAGCTAGGAACCACTATAAACACATCTGAAAATTATAGCTTTCACTGACTATTAGTAATAAGAGTAAAATACTACTTTACTTCTTTTTCTGAATGCTAATTTAATTTTGATAATGTTCGAAACAGTTAAAAAATATAAAAGAGATAGCAGATTCCTAGACGGGGAATTTCTAAGTCAGAGGTTGTAAGCATTTTTAGGTCTCTTGACATGGTTTTGTAATACTGATCCCTAAACGGGTCTACAATCCTACCAGAAGCACCTGCTCATTAGATATTGAGTCTTACCCCACTGAGTACTGAATCTAAACTACGTTTCTTACTAAAATGTATAGAATATATATTCAACCTTATCTAGAAAGCCACTGAAGAAAATACTCCTGAGACCAGAAACATTCAGTTATTCTCCAAAAATGTTGTGGATCAGTGAGTTTAAAGGGCAGGCTTTACACTAATAATTCACATCTTCGAAAGGTAATGAAGTCTTTGGATTTTAATTGATCCCATTTTTAATAATTGAGATAAAAGTGTGAGGAGCTGGTTTTGGGCATCACATAGCATATGAAATACTGTCAAAACCATAGCAAAAAAGCTTTTGCTCACTGAAGTAAATGTCCTTTGCCTTCTTTCAGCATGATTAAAGTAGTCCCTCACCCTCATTCCAGAGAAAAGGAAATGCAAGTTTTGGAGACAAAATATCTTAGCTAGAGTCACAAGTAAGCTATAGAATTGGTGCTCAATTAGGTAACATATCTATGCACTGTGCACAGCATCAAGCTAACCATACATATAGACAGAAGTTCTAATGTGAGGTTCCTAACACATGTATTATTCACTTATTTACATTTAAAATGATTTCAGTGCAGCCTTAAACAGCATACATGATTTTAGCCCATTTGCTTGTGTGATACACAGGCTGAGAAGGGAAAAAATATATTTCATAAGGGAAACAAAATCTCAAAAGTTAAAAAACAAAACAAATACATACACATCAACTGGTAGGGGGCAACCAGGATAGAATCCTCTTCAAAGTAACATATATATTTTTTACACACTTAGATAAAACCCAAAAGGGAGCTGCCTTCTTTACCTTCTGGAAGTGTAGAATGATAGACGACGGGGCTCCAGGGACTAGAAAGTTGATCCACATGCAACCGAACAGCAAATTCATATTTGGTGTTTGGTTCTAGGCCTTGAACCAACATGTGAGTTTCTGATCTATAATAATGAGCAATGAAGCTGTTAATGCTGTGAGCACATTCTTTCTCAAAGATTGTCAGTATGTCCAATCAACACAGGTAGGGAGGGCATACTAAAATTATTTTACACTAAAAGAGCAATCTAATTTGACCATTATATACAACATTTGGTATTATCCTATAAAAATATGCCTACAAATGTCCTAATACAAAGAGATTTCCTCTGAAATGTTGGAAATAAAATTATACTTCTAAATCATAGTGATAGGCATCTTTTTATCTATACCCTAGAAAACAGAATAACCTGCTTTATTTTTTGATGCCAGCATAAAAATTATTTTTTGTTTCTTTCTTTAAACATGTTTTTCTTTAGCCACATGAGTCAAAATAGCTTCTTGCCTAATTTTGTTGCATCAGGCTGGGGAAAAAAAAAGTCATTTACAAAAATTAAATGTCAAAAAATACACTTTCAGAGCTGAATATGGTAAAGATGAAAACAATCCAGACATTTTATAAGCAAGGTAAGTCCTAAGAAAAACGCTTACAGCTGAAGCTCAAGCCAGCCCAAGATGGCAGGAAGTATGAATGGGGAGGGGAGCAAAGACAACAACCATTAATAGAAGCTACATACGTTTGAAGATACAGAACCAAAGAAGCATTCTGCAGGCCGACAGGGTTACAGCGAATGGTGTAGTTAATTATTTGTGCAGTAGTGAACGCAGGCCTCCTCCAGTGCAGGAAGATGGAAGATGAGGTGTTAGCCTTCGCATAGAGATGGTGGGGCGGTGGTGGAGGAGGAACCATGCGATCACGAACAGCTATTGAAAAAGACAAGGCCAATTTACCGCACAGTATAACATTTATTTTAAAAAGTGGTGAGTGGTAAAATCTTAACACCCCATCCGATAAGCTCACTTTAGATCTTTCTTCCCTGACAGGTTTGTAGTGGTCTAGAAACGTTATTCAAACTTGAACGATGCTTCCGTGAGTTAGAAGATAAGGAATCAAATATTATCAATACACAGACTGTAATGCAGAAGCATGGAGAAGTCAAGCTACCAGGCCAATGCTTTCAGAAAGCCAGCAGCGGGCTTAAAACTAGACTGACACCCACTTTAGTAGCAAAATCAAACAGCTCTTAGCAGCAACAAAACTGAACAGCAACTGGAAGGAAATAATTAGCCTCAAGGTTAGAGCAGATGAAAGAAAACTCAGTATATGTAGGTATTCAGGGTTATTTTCCCAGTTAAATTTCTTATGATCTTCTGCAGGCAAAAGTAGAATAGGTTCTTACAACTAAATACATCTCACTTAAATATTTACTAAGCATGTACTTGTTCAAGACACTATCTTAGGTACCATGGGGAATATAAAGTAATTGAACCAATAAGGCTTCTAAGTAGTAATGACACTTGAATTTTAAGGAAGAGGAGAAACAGGAGTGTGAGGCATACACAGTGAAAGGAGCTACCACAACTGTACTTACACACGCATCCTGGGGTGCTGACTGTCTGATCTGCCTGGTAACCATCTTCTATGTTATTGTAAGCCAGCAGCCTCACATGGTATTTTCTTCTGGGGTCTAAAAAGAAACCAACAGGTAATAATTAGGTCCAGCCACCTAGATACAACAAAGGTCCTAGAGCCTTTCTAGAGTTTGGGTTTAAAATCTTCTGAATGAATACCAGTTCTAAGTAACAAAATTTTCTCTCTCCCTATCGTACACAATGACTCAGCAATTCACCTTAGTATGACGTTGCTACTGTGACTGTACCAATTATTTAAAATTTTACTTTGCTTAACCTCACTTCAAATGGTAACATTACTAAAACCACTCTTCCTCCTCCTCCTCAACTGAACAGACATAGATTCTTGCTTTTAAAAGACTTGGGTTTACATGATGAATCATTTATAAGAAGTCACACTATGTAGTTTTTGTTTAGTTACTTGAGAGTAGTCTATTAAAAGTATGAAAATCAAAGTCAGATGTTTTTCCCCTCAAAGTTTAGGAGAATTACAATTGTCATTCTTTAGTATAGTACATTTTAAAATCTTTAGAACCATGTGTTATTTATTTCTAAGCACGTCCTTTCCATAAACCTGTATTTTCAAGTTGAGAGCTAAATTCTTCAAGAAAGATAAGCTGGGGCTCCCTCTACTGGAATTAATTAACTGGCACAATCTGAAAACTAAAGTTCGTTCCACGCATATTAAAACAAAAAAAGTTTCTGGCCTTTGAGAAAATAAATCATTATAAAATTTAAATCATATACACTAGAAAATATATAAGAATTTTAACGACATCAATAAATTTAAGTATAACCATTTATGATAACTATAGAGCACTTGCTTAGAGCAAAAATAAATATCATTCAGAAATAATATATTTCTTCCCCCCCCCAGTTTTATTGAGGTATAGTTGGTAAATTAAAGCTGATTTTTAAGGTTTACTACTTGATGTTTGATATACATATATATTGTGAAACGATCACTACAATCAAGCTAATTAACATATCCATCATCTCATATAATTACCATTTCTGTGTATATGCGTGGTGGAAATGCTAAAGACCTACACTTTCAGCAAATTTCAAGTACACAATACAATATTTATAATTAGAGTCCTTATACTATACATTAGGTCTCTAAAATTTATTCCTGTGTAGCTGCAACTTCATACCCTTTGGCCACCTCATCCCATTTCTCCCACCTTCCAGCCCCTGGCACCCATCATTCTACTCTCTTTCTGGAATGACATTATAGTCCTCTAGGTCCATTAATGCTACGCAGAAGGCAAGATTTCATTCTTTTTAAGGTTCAGTAATATTCCTTTGTGTATGTGTGTGTGTTTGCCACATTTTCTTTATCCATTTACCAGCTCACAGATATTTAGGTTGTTCCCGTATCTTGTCTACTGTGAATAATACTGCAATGAACGTAGGGGTGCAGATATCTCTTCAAGGTACAGATTTCATTGCCTTTTGGTATATACCCAGATATCAAAAAATAATCTTTGATAGCTATAGTCAAATGTAAAGGTTATTAAATTCTCCAAAGTTAGGAGTTTGTCTAAATATTTTAGAAATGATTAATATATTCTAATATTTAATATTAAAATCCATTTAAACATTTCCTAAAATATTAAAATTTTATTTATATTTATTTTTATAAAATTAAAAACACAAGAAAAATTTACACAACTTAAGAGAATTTCTGTAGTTTCTAGGTAAAAAGTTGGGAAGACTAATAACTTCTGACTATCTTACAGAAAATGTTTTTCAGGTATATTATCTTGAGTATCACAAAACTCTGTAAGACACATTACTCCCATTTTTTAAAGGCTGTAGTAAAAGGTATTAAGTAGCATGTCTAATGCCATACTAAGCTGAACTAGGAACTTGTGGGTATGAGAGCACAGGGCCTTTAAATTGACACAAACACATGTGCCTTTGTCACAGCAAGTTTGTCTCCTTATAATAAATTTTAAAATAGAAATATATTCAAGAATTTTATAAAATAATTGCCACAGAACATAGAAACATATTTGGATTTGTTCACTCAAATCATTTCCAACACTCAGCACTGCAATTCTAAGATTCAAAAGGTTTCAGTTTAGATTAAAGGCTACTTAATTTGAATCAGTTTTATTCTTTCTTTCCTCCTATCATATTGCTGATCTCATTAGTCAACTGAATCCTGAGTTCAATATTACAAATATTCCTTCTGATTGGTACAAACAGAAGAGGCTCTTTGCAATCTAGTTCTTTATAAATTCACAGTGCCATCTTCAGAAATATTTCTTCATTCTGCCTGTGCTCAGTTACAAGAGTATCTTTGGGAAAGTTTCCTGAGTGTGGGGTACTATGTCAGGAATGCAGAAGATACGGGAAAGAAAGGCTGAGACACAATTTGTCCAAGTAGCTCCTGGTCTCAGGGAACCAGATACAGATACAAGCCAACTCTCACGGAAAGCTGATTTTTGATGAGGGTTAGAATAGGTAGAGAGATTAATCCTTATTCTACTGTGCAAACAACTGATCAATACTTCATGAATATGTCTTTGGAATGATTTATTTATTTTTTTATTTTTAACAACAGACATTTATTTCTCACAGCTCTGGAGGCGGAGAAGTCTAAGATCAAGGTGCCCACAGATTCAGTGTCTGGTGAGGACCCTCTTCCCAGCTTGCAGATAGCTGCTTTCTTGCTATATCCTCACATGGCAGAGAGTGGAATGCTTTTACTTTTTTAACTTAAAATTGATTCTTCAAGTTTTCCCTTCTTTCTCTTTAAAAAAGTGAACTGCTTATACTAAATTTTAAACTCAGAGTTAACCTTGTGTTGTTGTTGTTGTTCAGACAGAAGCAGCTTCTGTGTTCTGAGATGAGAGAACAGAGTTGCTCCCTTCGGATCCTCAGCACCTGTCTATTCCCCACTCAGCAGAGACCCTAGCAAGCCTGCTGTGAGGAGGGCATGCCTTCGGATGCCCATCTGGAACTCATCCAAGTAGCCAGCACAACCCTCTCCAGTGCTGTGCTGCTTCGCCTGGTAGTACGCATGAGGTCAGGAAAAGGTAAGCCAACGAGCAGGCAAATCAAACACATGGAGGGGTCCCTGAATTCCTTTCTGTCCACATAAAAAAGGTAAGACAGACCCAGGATAATTTTGGAAATGATTTTAGCAGGAAAAAGAACAGGGCATCATACAATGTGGAAAAAATAATTTAAAGGAGAGGAAAAAACCATTCACATTTGTTCATGTGTGATCTCTTCTTTATGCTCTACAAGAATTTTAAAAAGTAAACAGTGCCAGGAAGGGGACCAAACTGAGCACTGGGCCATATGCCCCTTTTAGGCTGGAAAACACGTAACTCCAATCTCAAAATCTAGTCGCTATTTTACTTCGGTTTGTTAATCCAGAGACCCTGGAACAACCTGTCTGATTCTTGTTCACCAATTTGTTAGGAATTTGATTTCATGTACTGTTTGCAAATAAAAGAGGGGACCCAGGTATCACAGACCTCAAATGTAAAAATGAACATTATCAGGCAATAAGAGTCATTAAAAAAGAAAACATAACAGCTACATAATTAACAAAATTAAAGATACAGAGAAAAAACCCCAACAGTTTAGGACCAATACATAAAATGCAGTTAAACGCACAAATGTGCCTCAACTTAAGTAGCACAAATCCTAAAACTGCAGTTTTGCACAGACCCTCTAATGCATAGTGGACAAAGCAGAGACTCAGGATCACAATGAAGTGACACAGGGAACCCGTTCCCACTGCATGTTACAGCTCTTCTTGAGTTAAGCATCACCACACATGCAGTGCTTGGTTACAGAGACTCAGCAGACGTGGTCTGTGTGGTTCAGGGGGAAAACAGCAGAGTCAGGAAGAGTAGCCACAAAGAATAATGCAAGCCTTCTCAAAACTAAGCAAGGGAAGAAGAAAGGCTGCGGAGAAAACTGGTCCCAGTTTCTTCAAAACCCAACACAAGGGGTATAGTTTTGATGATCTTCTTTTTCTTAAATAAGTCTCTAACTCATGTAATAATGGCTTGGTAATGACAAACTCTAGCTTTAACTCGTCTGGGAAGCTCTTTAACCTGACCTTTCATTCTAAATGGTAGCTCTGCTGGACAGAGTAATCTAGGTTGTAGGTCCTTGCTTTTCATCATTTTGAATACTTCTTGCCAGTCCCTCCTTGCCTATAAAGTTTCTTTTGAGAAATCACCTGACAGTCTTACAGGAATTCACCTCCAGGTAACTCTCTGCTTTTCTCTTGCTGCTTTTAAGACTCTCTCATTATCTTTAACCTGTGGCATTTTAATTATGGTATGTCTTGGTGTGGTCCTCTTTAGGTCCAACTTGTTTGGGACGCTCTGTGCTTCCTGGACTTGTATGTCTATTTCCTTTGCCACATTAGGGCAGTTTTCTTTCATTATTTTTTCAAGTAAGTTTTCAATTTCTTGCTCTTCCTCTTTTCCTTCTGACACTGCTATGATTCAGATGTTGGCACATTTAGAGATGTCCCAGAGTCATCTTATACTACCTCATATTTATGAATTCTTGTTTTTCCTTTCTGTTCTGGTTGAATGTTTATTTCTTCCTTATGTTCCAAACCACTGATTTGAATCCCAGCTTCCTTTCCTTCGCTGTTGGTTCCCTGTAGATTTTTTTTTTATTTCACTTAGTGTAACCTTCATTTCTTCCTTTGTGCTGTTGCTATACTCAGCGGGTTCTTTGTGCATCTTTACACCAGTGTTTTGAACTCTGCATCTGATAGGTTTGCTATCTGTTTCTTTTAGTTCTTTTTCTAGGGTTTTGTTCTGTTCTTCCATTTGGGCTTCATTTCTTTTTCTCCTCAATTTGGCAGCCTCCCTGTATTTGTTTCTGTGTATCAGGTAGACCTACTGTGACTCCCTGTAAAAGGCATCTGTAAATTGTGTGGGGTGGAGCCTTAAGTAACCAGCAGGGTGGGGCAACCTACTTCACCACTTTGTGGCTGTGTGGGGGAGGGCTCAGAGAGGGGATTGAGCCATGCCCTGGCTTCCGAGGGTTTCCTCAGCAATTACCCTGT